GGGGGGAGTCCTCCTCCCCGGAATTTGTTGGCTTAGCTCTGAACTGTTCATGGACCGTGCTTTCCGGGCCCAGTTTGCCCAGTGACTCCCTTTACAAGACTTCCCAGGAGAGGAACTTATGAGACAGCAGAGTAGGAGCGCTACGGGAACCCCGTCAGACCTTGTTCCTGGGGTCTTCCAGCCTCAGCAAGAGACCGGACTCGAGGCTGCTGCTCCCGGCACACCTTTGCGGGGCAGAAGGTGTGGTCGGTCAGTGTAGGAATTTGGAGGGATCCGGCAGTTCCGGAGGAGGCCACCGGCTCTTAGCTTTGATAAAGCACACAAGTGGATTTACAGTTAGTCTCTGAACCCTTCCTTGACACACCGGTAGCCAGGCGGCATCCTGGGAACACCATAGGAATAGTCACTGTCACAAAGTGCATTCTTTAGGTGCTACTCGAGGCTCTCTGGGGAGGCTACCTGGGAGCTGGAGAGCAGGGAGCGGTGTGGGCCGGTCTGGGCGGGCCAGTCTCCGGGTTCACTTCTGTGAGGAAGCCACTGGGGAAGGAAAGAGAAACCGAGAAAACCGGTTCTCCAGCCTTCGCAGTCGAAGCCCCTACATCAAGGTCATTGCCCTAAGAGCAGGAACAATTCCAGGGTAGAGCAGCTCAGGGCCGCCCCAAAACCTGCACTTCAACACGACTCCGCGGGCCCTGGGGTGCAGACTCCTGGAGGACGGGGAGCCGCGGAGCTTCTCCCGAATTCCTTGTAGGCTGGAGGCGTGTGGGCAGGACCAGGCGGGGAGGGACTGGGGGTGGCGTAAAATGAGCCGCTCTTCCCACTTAAATGACAGGGAAATTGAGCTAAGGCAACGTTTAGGCAGATGTGGTGTCGACCTTATTGCAAGCAATCACCCCGCGTAAGGCAAGGCTTCCAGGCAGCAGAACTAGACCCATATAACCCCCAGTTTCCTCAACAGGGGACTGAAGCGAGGCTCAAATTTTATGATCAACCCCACAGAAAGAAGGAAGCTGCCGTAATTCCATTACGGACTATAAGAGAGCCTCAGAGATTATTTTATACAAGTCCCAATTATAAAGATGAAGAGACTGAAGCCCGAACGCAAAGGGCGAGTGCAGGATCCAGACCCAGGTCTTTGTTCCCCTAGAATGGTGACTTCAATGGCCCCCTCTCCTGACTGCCCGTAGGAAAACGCGGTGGCCGCGATGGCGGCGGACGTCGAAGGGGACGTGTATGTGCTGGTGGAACACCCTTTTGAGTACACTGGCAAGGACGGGCGCCTCGTAGCCATACAGCCCAACGAGCGCTACAGACTGCTGCGCCGTAGCACTGAACACTGGTGGCACGTGCGGCGCGAGCCTGGTGGCCGACCCTTCTACCTGCCCGCACAGTATGTGCGCGAGCTGCCCGCTCTCGGCGACCCTGCCGCTGCCCCGCAGTCACCCGCGCCCCACACAAGCCCCGCAGTTCCCGAACCGCTGACCTACGACTACCGGTTCGTGAACTTGTCCGCGCCCACGGGCTCCGATCACACACCTGGGGAACCCCGGGGCCGCGCCAGCTCCCTATGCGGTCCTGTGCGTCGCAGCGGCGCCGCTCAGCGCAGCAGCCTGGCGCCAGGCGGGCCCACCAGCCTGTACGCGCGACCCTTGGCGCCAGTGCGCCCAGCGCAGTCCCTGGACGACCTGGCGCGCGCCGCCGCGCCCCCTGCCGGCCTCCTAGGAAGCGCAGGCCGCTTCAAGGCCTGCAGCGTGGCGGGATCCTGGGTGTGCCCACGGCCCCTGGCGCGCAGCGACTCGGAGAACATCTACGAGGCCATCCCGGATGTGCGCAGCCCTCAACGCGAAGACATCCCGGAGCAGGTAAGGCGCTGTGAGCCGGGTGGCGGGAGCCGGGCCGCACCCTCCTGATGCTCACCGCAGTATCCACGGGCTTTGGTCGAGCTCTCTTTCCTCGACTATGAAACAAGTGGTCAGGCTCAAAACGCCTTATCTGCAATTCCTAAATGGCAAAGTTCCTTGGAAGTCCAAGTGTTTCTATAATTCAACTGGTGGCAAAATTGGTCTGGGAGCTGATTTGGAATCTTTACTAACCCCACTAGTGTGACTATTCATGTTTTGCTGCAGAAATGAAAATGAGATTGATTACAGGGTATTGCCCCAAGCTGTGCCAGGAGGTTACACATCCTGTGGCATTTGCATGCCCAGTATTACCATACTAAAACCCCCACCAATCTGTATTCCCCAGTGCATCTGCTATGGGTCCATAGATCTCTGCTGCTCTACACGCCTCGCCTTTCTCCAGAGAGTTTGAGCGGGAGAGAGGTCAGATGAGTTGGTGGATGTGAAAGTCACGCACCGCTTCCCTTTTGGGCCGCTTCCAATGTTTCAGTTCCTTTAAAAAAAAAAAAAAACAACTCTTGATGGGTTTGTTTCAGACAAAAGTCCAGTTATTGCGAGGGTGCCCCCCCTCCCTTCAGAATCCGATTGTGTTAGTTTGAGAAATCGAAAATACCATACGTTTTTAAAGTACTCTTACATCCTCACAATGCTCCGACGGCCCTCACATCTTGAACTTTAGGAACTTTTCGGGCACAGGGGCGGGGTGGGGGAAGATGCTCCGAACCCGTGCCACCAGCTGGGGAATAATGTGGCCAACTCATTTCCTCTCTCAGGGTCTCAGTTTGTTCTTTAGCGCAAAGGTAGGGGGCGAATGGAAAACCTCCGAGGCCCCGGGAGCCTCCGGTTTCTTTGTATTTGGTTGTAATCTCAATAAACACGCTTGCACGTGCCAGTACTGAGTTTGGGGTTCCCAGACCTAGGCGGCAGTCAGGGTTGGCCCGCTGCGGGGTCAACCCGCTTCCGGATCAGCCCTCCGCCCAGTCTCGTGACCATGCAGAGTTCAGGTTTGAAACTACAGACTCGAATTTGACTCTGCTGGGTCACCCGCCAGCCGCTGACGAGCCACTTAGCTCCCTCAGGCTCCGTGTCTTTGTGTGTAAACGCATTAGGTTGTTGCGAGCCTTAAACGAGGTGAAGTGTGGAAGGTCTTGGCATGCAAAGCAGAAGGTCCATCAAGGCCCCCTGGGCGCCCGGGTCCGAAGTTCTTCCCCTGATCCGCGTGGCTTTGCTCAGGGTTCTACAGGGCATCCCGCTCCCTTGTGGCTAGAGCAGGCAACAGCACCTGGCAGGAGCCGACGGGGACTGCAGCGGGTCTGCTGCTCTTTGCCAGCAGGCCAGGTGGCCTCTCTAGGACAGGTGACTGGAGGCCAGCTCTCTATCCCCTGGGTCCCCTCCATTCCTGGGCAGGCTCCTGGTGGCGGCATACTTTCAAGCCTGTGACAGTCTCTGTCCTAGTGACGGTGGGAGTGTGCGGGCCCTTGAGAGGTACATGTCTGGAAGTGGGGGAAGGGTCTTGCCCTCTGAACCCTCTCGCCTGACCCAGAGATTGAGCACTGAGTGTAGTGAGGAGCAGGGAGTGATTGACCCCATATCCCCGATGCAGGACTCTGCACGTCTGCTCAAGAGCCATTAATCCAGGGCTTCAGACCAAAGGAAGGTCCCCAGATCCCAGCATTTGCTGAGAAATCACCCAGCACCAGGATCACTTCCCAGTTTTACCTTTGCCCCTCCTTCTTCCTGCTCTCAGCAAATTCCCAGTTGCAGTGATTTGGGACGCCCAAATGGTGGGGGTGGTACTTACACAGAGAGAAACTGGGACATCTTCCAGACACTTCAGTTTGGGGCAGAGAGCTGCTGCCTGGCTCCTAATTCACTGTATGACCTCAAAAATTTGCTTAGTGTCTCTGGTCTTCTTTCCTCCTCTGTGGGACGAATATAACAATAACACAGCCCCTGTGACTGTGCTTTACCCAAGGTCAGCAGTGGCTCTCCCTGACACCTTGTTCCCAACAAACTCCAGGGGTGGGGAGTTAGTTGTCCCCTGGGAAGGAAACCCCACCCCAGCCCTTCCTTGTTCCAAACAGCATTTCAGGAAGGAATTTCCTGAAAGGTGAGCCTGCCTGTTTCCCCCTGGAAGAATGCAGGAGGAGGAATCCCCGCCTCCCTGATCCCCCAGGTCCAATGGATCCTCCTTCATTAAGCATGAATTGATTGAACACCTGCCAAGACAGGGATATAGGCACAGCAGCAGGGATCTAGGCACAGGGGCAGCCCTGGGGAACTCCTTCTTTGGGACAGGAAGCTGGTAGGAGAGGACAGATGTTGTTTGTTTGTTTGTTTGTTTTTAAATATTTATTTTTTTAGTTGTAATTGGACATATCTATATCTATCTATCTATATCTTTATATAATCTATCTCTTTAATCAATTAATTAATTAATTTTTATGTGGTGCTGAGGTTCGAACCCAGGTCCTTGCCCATGCTAGTTGAGCGCTCTACCGCTGAGCCACAACTCCCCACCCCCCAGATGCTGTTTTAGTCAGCTTTTTCTGCCGCTGTGAACAAAAGACCTGACAAGAACAATTTTAGACAGTTTATTTGGTGCTCACAGTTTCAGAGGTCTCAGTCCAAAGATGGCCAGCTCCACTGCTCTGGGCCCAAGGTGAGGCAGAGCGTCATGGTGGAAGAGTGCAGAGGAAGAAAGCAGGACAGGGCCACCAGGAAGCAGAAAGGAGCTTTTGCTCACCAGGGACAAAATATAAACCCCAAAGGCATATCCCCAGTGACCCACCTCCTCCAGCCACACTCCACCTGCCTACAGCTACCACCTAGTTAATCCATTCAAGTGGATTAACACACTGATTGAGTTAAAGCTTTCATAACACAATCTTTCACCTCCAAACTTTCTTGCATTGTCTCTCACCTGAGCTTCTTCGGGACACCTCTCATCTAGACTGTAGCAGATGCCTGCATCCAACACAGCCCAGCCTATCTGTGAGGGGGCTGCAGTGCAGCCTGGGCAGAAGAGGTGTGGACATGAGTGCACATTTGGTCCCTTGTAGCCCCACACACCCCACGTGGTGGGTGCTGGGAGCGGAGCTTGGGGCTGGGTGGGTGGTGCCTGTTGAGGAGGGAAGACTTTGCCAGGAATTTGAACTTTATCCTGCAGCTGTTGGAAGGCTCTTAGCAGAGAAGGGAGTGGGATTGAGAAAAGACCTCTGTATCCACAGCTGCTAGAGTGGCCTAGGCACAGAGTGGTGACAGGAGGATCTGGAGGCAGTGGGCTGGGGGTTGTGGTCAGGCTGAACCCTAGCACAGCAGCTCACACCAGGAGGCTGACAGTAGTGCTGCTGCTTCTCCAGGGGATCTGATTGGGGAGGAGCCAGGTGGAGAGAAGATGGGGACTTCCTTAATTCCCTGGCAAAGGGAGGGAAAGAAAAGCAGAGAGAATTAGAGCGAATTACATTCCATGCGTTTATAATTATGTCAAAATGAATCCTAATGTTATGTACAACTAAAAAAGAATCAATAAAAAATAAATAAAGAGGAGCAGAAGGGAGACAGAGTCAGGGGACAAGAAGGAAAGGCAGGAGAGTGCTGACCTGGAAGCCAAGGAAGAGTCCAGAAGAAAGGGGGCAATGGGAAGGTCAAGTTAGATAAAGGACACAGGGTATTTATTGGAAGTGGGCACCAGCAGGCCAGTGGTCAAAGGGAGGATGAAGGGAGGGACCATGGGTCAGAGTCCAGGCCAGGATGTGGGCTGACCACTGGGGAAGGGGGACCCTGCGTGGACAGAGGTGGAGGGTGGAGATTCCCTGGGTTTAAGTGGATGGACAGGACATGGGAGACGGAGGCTGGGGATGGGGAAGAGGTAGAGATGAAGACGGATCCTTGGAAGAAAGGAGTGGCTCAGAACAGAGGGGCAAGGATGTGCAGATGGAAGTCACAGAGTCACCAGGGAGTGTGAAGGGACATCCATCTCTCAAGCTTAGTCTGTCGTCTCAGGGCTGTCACTTGGCAGGGCCAGAGACCCCACAGAAGAGCCGAGCCACTCCTACAGATGGCATTTTATAGCCTTCTCAGTCACCACTTACCCAAGTAGCACAGATGAGTGCCCGGTGTGGGCTGGTTGCCAGGCTGGACATGCGGAGCACAAAACGTGTAAGACATCTCCACGGGGCTTCAGTCCTGTGGGCTCAAAGGCCAGGACACAGGGCCAACCTCCTGACGATGGGGAAGGCAGTGCAGGTGCATCCATTTGCCCAGAGAGGAAACAGGTTCAGAGAGGTTTAGTGACTGGCCAAAGGTTCCACAGCCCATAGCTGGCTGTTTCATGTCAGTTCCAGGCCTCCCCCAAACCCCACCCTGGTCATTTGGCCTAGTCTCAGCCAGGTACCCTTCGGGATTGGCTGCCCTATTCCCCTGAGCAAAACAGTTCAAATCTAAGACAAGCAAATGTACATTTTTCTGAGCACCCTGTCTGCAAACCTCTGTGGAGGGAGGGGAGAGGCTGCAGGAAAGGAGGACCTGAATTCCAGCCTTCTCCTGGCTGTGTGCAGCTGGGGAAGCAGCGAGAGAATGAATGCTCCCCAGGAGAGGGGAAGGGATGCCCGGAGGACTCCCTTCACCCACCCAGGGAGGCCTCCCAGGGAGCCAGGCCACAGCCAGTGTGACCAGAAACCTCGGAGGCCCCTCCCCTAGAGCCGCGGACCCGATTGGGGATTGCAAGGTGTGGTCACCATCCCCGCCCCGGGCCTCGAGGTGGGAAGGCTCAGGGCAGCAGATCTGGACTGGAGCCCGTCCCTGCTGGCAGGGCAGAGTTACAGCCCGGGCTGCAACTTCTTATGCAAGCAGCCCCGAGGCGCAGGCGCCATACCTGAGCTGGCAGCCCTGACTGGAAGGAGCCCCAGGGCCCTCGTTCCTTCCTCCGCCAACTCCAGGAATTGTGAGTGACCTCTGCC